CTCGGCGCGCGGCGGAGGGGGGGCACCCAGGGAGCCCGACGCTGCCCCAGACGTGATCGCGTCGTAGAAAAGATCAGGGCGGGAAGTTCTTGGTGCTTTTCGACCCCTGGAGGCCCTCGAAAGGGCCCCAGGACCGTCAAAAAACGACTCGGGACGAAGAAGCTGCCCTGGGGAAAGGGTCTGGACTTCTGGGAACGCCGTGCTGAAAAAATCAGGACGTCGCATGTCTGGGGCGACTACCACCGGAGCGGCGGTATTTTTTGTGGTTGCCGTCTTTGGCCTCCAGGAGCCGTCGCAGGAAACCCCTCGCGTCGTGAAGCAGTCACGAAAGGACATGTTCTGCGTTTTCTGTTGTTTCGGCCCCGGGTGGGCCTCGCCGGACCCCCTCGAACCATGGTCGCAGAGGGCAGGTTTTGGCTGTTCTCGGCCTCTGGGGGCCTTCGCCGGGCCTCGAGTGTCAAAAAACAACTCAGGATGAAAAACAACGACCCTACAGGAAGTGGCCAAGACCTGGGGGGCCCACGCATCGAAGACATCGGAGCGGCCGGATGTCAGGGTAAGACGAAGCCAGGAAGAGGATTAACAACTCGGGTGAGGGTACATCGAACATCTCTGAGATCCAGCGGCTACGGACGACATCTCGGGCGCCGCGGTCTTCTGAGAGCGCCCGCCAACGCTCTGAGTGCAGTCTGGAAAAGCCGGCCCTAGGGAAGTGGTCCAGACCTTGAGGGCTCACGCATCGAAAAAACTGGGAGCTAGCGGTATTCTGGCTTGGGGAGCGGGAGTGCCATCAAAACATGGATTTGCGCGCGCACGCACACAGACAGCCCCAAAAAGTCCTGATTCCTGCTGTACTCAGCAGGCCCCAAAAGTACGCTCTGAGGAACGATTGGATCTAGGGCTCCACGGGGATGGGCGCGGGGGTTGCTGAGGGGAATAAGGGGGCGATCAATGGATCCCAAAATGGGTTTTGTATCGGAGGTTGGTGGGTGAGATCGCAGTGAAACGGAGACACCCCACCGGGAAATCGCTTTCGGTTTCGTATTCGTGTCGTGCGTGCGGGCGAGGCGAAGCTGCGCGTGATGCTCCTGTAGCTAGGCCGAAAGAGGAGCGAAAACCCGTTCCCGTCCGCCGGTGGCTGGCAGGCGTCCCAGTTGGGCCAGGCGGTGTCCCGGGTGTCAAAAGGAGCGAAAGTCCGTTCCCCGTCCGCCGGTGGCCGGGAGGTGTCCCAGTTGGGCCGGGCGGTGTCCCGGGTGTCCCGGGTGTCCCAGGCGTCCCGGCGCTAACGCATGTCGCTAATCCCACCAGCCCTCTGGGCGTCGGTGGTTTAGAGCGTTTACTCTTCCACCCCTCCTTCCCCTTCGAGGAGGGATTTACCCCTCCCCCTGCCCCCTCCCCCTGGACCTGGACAGGGGGTTCCGCGAGTCGTCGGAGCGTTCAAAACGCCCTCGGCGAGGAAGCCAAAATCATTGGTTTTGGCCCCATGTTGGCCTCTGGGGGGGGGGGGGCGCTAATTTAACAACCCCCCTCTTGTTTGATCGATCTCCTCTAAGATGGCCCCAAGAAGCGCCCAGGAGGCCCCAAGAGGTCCAGGATGGCCCCAAGATGGCCCCAAGAGGCGCCCAAGAGGCCCCCAGGAGGCCCCCAAGAGACCCCGAAGAGGCCCCAAGAGACCCCCCAGAGGCACCCACGATGCTCCAAGAGGCCTCGGCGAGAATGCCAAAACGGTCTCGGCGAGGAAGCCAAAATCATTAGTTTTACTGGGGTTTGGCCCCATGTTGGCCTCCTGGGGGGGGGCGCTAATTAATGCTCCCCTCTTGTTTGATCGATCTTCTCCAAGATGGCCCCAAGAAGCGCCCAGGAGGCCCCAAGAGGTCCAGGATGGCCCCAAGATGGCCCCAAGAGGCCCCCAAAAGGCCCTCAGGAGGCCCACAAGAGACCCCCAAGAGGCCCCAAGAGACCCCCCAGAGGCACCCAAGATGCTCCAAGAGGCCTCGGCGAGAATGCCAAATCATTGATTTCACAAAAGGTTTTAGACACATGTTGGCCTTTTGGGGGGGAGCACTGATTAAGATGACTCCAAGAGCGCCTGGGAGAGCCCAAGATGACCTCCAAGATGGCTCAAGATATCCCAAGATGTCTCATAATGGCTTCCTCTGTGTGCTGCCCACTTCCCTGATCCAGGCAATTCCTCTGGGCATCGTTTCTGGATGGGCTGGTGGGGATTCCCGAAGCGTCAGCAATTTCATACCTCATTTGTTTCGGCGCCTGCGGCGGGCTTTCTTATCCAATCCAGCTTACCTTATCCAATACATCTTGTCCAATACAATCCATCTTATCTTATCCAACCCATCTTGCCCCATCTTATCTAATCCCACCCAATCCCATCCACCCAACCCAATCCATCAATTCATGTGTTTCTGCGCCTGCGGCGGGCCAATCCAATCCATCTTATCTTATCCAATACATGTCTTCCAATCCAACCCATCTTATCTTATCAAATCTATCTTATCCCATCCAATCCAATCCACCCAAAACAATCAATCAATTCATTTTTGTCGGCGCCGACGGCGGTCCATCTTGTGCAGTGGAACGGAGAGCCCCCCTACCGGGATATCGATTTCGGTTTCGTGTTCGTGCCGTGCGTGCGGGCGAGGCGAAGCTGCGTGGGCGGGGGAGAGGGAATTCTCCTGTGGCTGGGCCGCGGCTGGACCAAAAGGTTCTCCGCCCGGTAACCGGTGGCCCGCGGTGTCCCGCCGGTGTCCCGCTGGTGTCCCGCTGGTGTCCCGCTGGTGTCCCGCCGGTGTCCCGTCGTGGCTGGGCCGCGGCTGGACCAAAAGGTTCTCCGCCCGGCAACCAGTGCCCCGCGGTGTCCCGCCTGTGTCCCGCTGGTGTCTCGCTGGTGTCCCGCCGGTGTCCCGTCGTTGTCCCGTGGTGGCCCGTTGTGAGATCGACAGTGAGATCGATAGTGAGATCGATAGTGAGATCGATCATGAGACCGATAGTGAGATCGATAGTGAGATCTGTAGTGAGAGTTCGATCGTGAGATCTATAGTGAGATCGATCGTGATATCGATAGTGAGATCGATAGTGAGATCGATCGAGTGGGATCGACAGCGAGATCGATAGTGGAATCGATAGTGAGATGAATAGTGAGATCGAAAGCGAGATCGATAGTGAGATCGATAGCGAGATCTAGTGAGATCGATAATGAGACCGATAGTGAGATCGATAGTGAGATCTATAGTGAGAGATCGATAGTGAGATCTATAGTGAGATCGATCGTGATATCAATAGTGAGATCGATAGTGAGATCGATCGAGTGGGATCGATAGCAAGATCGACAGTGTAATCGATAGTGAGATCGATAGCGAGATCGAAAGCGAGATCGATAGTGGGATAGAAAGCGAGATCGATAGTGGGATTGATAGCGAGATCGATAGTGGGATAGATAGAGGGATGGATAGTGAGATCGACAAGCGGATCCATCGTGTCCCGTCGGTGTCCCATCGGTGTCCCGTCGGTGTCCCGTTGAGTGAGATCGATAGTGAGATCGATTGAGTCAGATGTTGGTTCCCCCCCTTTCTTCCCCTCCCACAACCTCCTTATCACCCGAAGGGTGGTCCTATAGGTGCACTAACGGGTACCAAATCATCTAAAAGGCAGAGGAGAGTTGACGATCCGGGCTCAGTGAGCTCCGCCCACGAGGCGGCGCTATCGAACCCCCTGGGCGACTTGAGCCATTTGTAACCAACATGAAAATCTGAGCCAGGCCAGATATGACCCATCGTGGCATCCACTGATCGCCCCCCTGTCCCCTCAACACTCCCCCGCGCCGACCCCAGTATTTATCGGGCGTTGGCAGAACTGGGTTTAGAGGAACCTGGTTTAGTGATTTGTACCGGGGGCGCCCCCCCGTCCCATTTCCACTAACCGGAACTGCCGTCACCCGAAAAACACCAGTTACGGCAAACCTGGTTTAATGAATCTGGCCAATTGAGGGGCCCCAGGGCCCTACCACTAACCGGGTCCCCTTACCCGGGGTCCTGGCTATACCCGGATTTATAGCGACGAGATCTACGCATCAAAGGGCCCCTGGCACGGCCCAGGATGGGCCCAGGAGCTGTGCATTTATGCGCCCTCCTGGCTTGACCAGGGAGGTATCTACACCGCGCCCGGGCCCTGGATATGGTCGGACCTGGACCAGCACGCCCTTCGAGAACACGAGACCCTCCGCCGGCCAAAGCTCACAGAACACCGAAGGATCCCCTCCCCAGGATCCACAAAAGCATCCATAGAGTAATACTAATACTAATACTAATAAAATTAAGTGACAATATAAACATAAATAATGATAATAATCAAACTAGTAAAACATAAAACAATACTACTACTGCTACTACTACTACTACTACTACTACTACTACTACTACTACTACTACTACTACTACTACTACTACTACGAATAACAACAACAAGAAACAAGTGCATAAACATAAACTGTTGGCGCTCCGCGCGGATTTCCTTGGATATGCGCAGGACCCCCCTCCCTGGCGCGCGGAGCGTGCCAGGGGCGGCGCCAGAGGCGTTGCCCAGGGTGCACGGGCGCGGATCCAAGAAACCCGTGCGGAGCGCTACAAGTTCCTGCCTATGGCGTTTTCGATTCTTCGAGATGCGCAAGATCATCCAGCAAACACGAGGAAACTTTGGGCACCCTCCCCGAAGCGACCTCGATCTGATACCTCGGGCCGACCGTACTCGGACTCCATCTGAGGGGCCTCTAGAGGAGGAGGAGCCAGAGAGGAGGAGGAGGAGCGAGGAGGGGGAGGAGGAGGGTGGTGGAGGAGGAAGAGGAGGAGGAGGGCAGAGGAGGAGGGCGAAGGAGGAGGGCGTATGAGGAGCGAGGCAAAGGAGGGTGGAGGAGGAAGAGGAGGAGCGAAGAGGAGGAGGAGGAGGAGGAGGAGGAGGAGGAGGAGCAGGAGGGAAGAGGAGGAGGAGGA